CAGACTCCACTTTTCCGCATCTCTCCACAAACACGCTCCGATTCAGGCGTGAAATCCAATGCTAAAGAGAGAGAGAGAGAGAGAGAGAGAGAGAGAGAGAGAGAGATTTGTCTCTCTCGGAGCGTGTTTGGTTTTGTCATGTCACGTCATAATGTCCTATTGTCTATAGGACATTCGAAGGGATAGACAATAGCGGGCATGGCCGGCTGCGGGTGAAAAGATACTACATCCCGGGTGCGGGCGGGCAATGATTTTCTTGCGGGTGCGGGTGGGTCCGGGTGAACCATTTTTACGGGTGGCAGGTGGGTTGGGCGTGGGCGGAAAAATTCGAAAAAATGCTTGGGTGGGTTGGATCAGCTTCAAACCTTTTTTTTTTGTTTGTTTTTAAGGGTTGCATGTACTAAGAAAATTTTGGGTGGGTTGGGTGAAGTGGCATTTTAAAACAAAAATGCTCATCTCTGCAGCACAGCCTCCAGCAGCAAGGGGAAGAGCCAGGGACGTCGCTCTTCAACCCCTGCCCGCCGCCCAAATCTGCCACGTGACGTCCATTTTCCAGCAGACCCCCTCAATCCCAACACCCTTCCCTGGCATGATCTGAAGATTCAGGAAGGAGTGTGGAGGAAGAGGAAGGAAAAGGGAGTCTGCTTGAGGTGTGAGGGACAGCACTTCCTGAAGGACTGTCCCTACATGCCAAGCCCAGCTCAGTCAAAAAACTGAAGTTGAACCTGGAGACAGCAGTTCCCTCCAGTGCTGCAACTGCATCTGCAGCTGCAGCAGCTTCAGTTGAGACTTCTTCCTTCCCATCCAGTGTGGGAGCTGCGCGGGCAGCATCCTTTGTATATGAGGATCCTGACCCGGATCAGGAACCGGACCAGTCTGAGTGTCAGGCTCTGGCTTCTTTTTTCTTTCATCTGAAAGAACAAAAGCAGAACAAGTCTGATCTCATCCTGCTTTGGCCCCTGATCAACCATCACAGGATCAAGGGGCTATTAGACTGTGGAGCCACTCGCAACTTCATGTCTCCCAGCGCAGTCCAAAAACTGCACCTTAGCATGAAAGTAGTGCAGCTGCAGCAATCGCTGCAGGTCCGCATAGGGGACTCCACTGTTCTGAACATCAAGGAGAAGGTCAGGGGTATCCCTGTAACCTTCGACAGCGCTGGAGAAGTCAGACACAATCTGAACTTCTACATCTTCCCTGACTTACCCTTTGATCTTGTGTTCTCCATGCAGTGGTTGAGAGCAGTCAACCCAAGGATCGACTGGCAGATCCCCAAGGTTGAACTGCCAAACAGCAAGGGGGTGTATCAGCCTTGTATGATTGCAGCTGATCATCACCCTCAGACTTCTTGCTACTGCCTGAGAGCGAGAGAGTTTTATGCTCTCTCTCGCCAGTATGACCATGAGCGTCTGTTCATAGCTCTGGTCAAGCAGACAGACGCTCCTACTACTCCCTGTCCTCCTGAGATACAGCAGGTTGTAGACCAGTACGCTGATCTGATGCAGGAGCCCTTTGGATTACCCAACCGGCCAACCAAGCATCATATCGAGCTGCTGCCTGGAGCGGTCCCTCCCAAGGGCCGCATCTACAGGATGTCACCTGTTGAGCTTGAGGAGCTCAGGCGACAGCTTGAGACCCTGACCAGCAAGGGCTGGATCAGGCCCAACACTTCTGAATTCGGTGTTCCAGTCCTCTTCGTTCCAAAGGGGAGTGGTGAGCTCAGAATGTGCATAGACTACAGGGGTCTCAACAAGATCACTAGGAAGAGCACAGAGCCACTTCCTAGGATCGATGACCTTCTGGATATGGTCCAAGGTTGCACCATTTTCGGCAAAGTCGATCTCAAGTCTGGCTACCACCAGATTGAGATGGCAGAGGAGGAAGTCCACAAGACGGCCTCCAAAACCAGGTATGGTACTTATGAGTACCTGGTTATGCCATTTGGACTTTGCAATGCACCTGGCACATTCCAGACCGAGATGCACCGCATCTTCAGGCCGTACCTGGACAAGTTCATGGTTGTCTACCTGGACGATATCCTGGTATTCAGCAGGACTGCCAGGGAACATGCGGAGCACTTGGCTCTGATTCTTCAGGCATTACGTGACAGCCAGTATAAGATCAACAGGGAGAAGTCCTCTTTTGGAGTTCCCTCTGTTATCTACCTGGGTCATGTGATTTCTGGAGATGGGCTGGCCCCTGAAGCAGCCAAGGTTGCTGCCATTCAGGATTGGCCACAGCCCCAGACAGTGAGAGACGTCCGGTCATTCTTGGGTCTGGCCTCATACTAGAGAAAGTTCGTCAGGAACTTTTCTGCAGTGGCTGCACCCCTGACTAACCTCACAAAGAAAGACACTCCCTTTCTTTGGTCCCTCCACTGTCAGATGGCCTTTGCACGACTCAAACAGGCCTTGACTCGTGCACCTGTTCTGAAGTTGCCTGACCCCACTCTGCCATTTGTTCTCACCACTGACGCCAGTCAGTATGGCATTGGGGCAGTCCTTCAGCAGGATGATGGTAATGGTCTGAGACCTGTAGAGTTTATGAGTATGAAGATTAAGACTCAGAAGTTGCAGGACTCCACCTACGAGAAAGAGCTCTATGCTCTTGTCAGTGCCCTGAAACATTGGAAACACTTTCTCCTGGGCAGGCACTTCAAGATCTTTTCTGATCATTCCACCCTGCAGTGGTTGAAGTCCCAGGGAGAGTTAAATGATAAGTTGGCACGTTATATTCAGTTCATTGATCTGTTTGACTTTGAACTGAAGCATAAGAAGGGCTGCTACAATAAGGTAGCAGACGCCCTCTCTCGTAGGCCTGACTCCTTTGCCTTGATCTCCTCTACTCACTCCTTTGGAGAGGAGGTCCGTCAGACCATTGCTCGTTTGTTGCCTCAGGACCCGACTTATGGACCCATCGTCAGGAATCTGCAAGCAGATCCCAACTCTGAACCTGGCTATGCCATGAGTTCAGATCTGCTGTACACCTACAACAGAGGAGAGGAGCGCTTGTGCATCCTTGAGGATTAGCAACTGAGGACACTGCTGATGTCAGAGTGTCACGACGCGCTTGGACACTTTGGGTTCTTAAAGTCGTATGCAGCCCTGTCGCAGCGCTTCTTCTGGAAGGAGATGCGGAGTGATATGCTGCACTATGTGGACACATGTGAGCTCTGCCAAAGGAATAAGGTTCAACGTAAACCTCCTTTGGGATTGCTCAAACCTCTGCCCATACCTGATGGTCCTGCCCAGTCTGTATCCCTTGATTTCACAGACTTAGGCAAGACTACCCCTCGTGGCATGCGTCAGGTCATGGTCTGCATTGACAGGTTTTCCAAATACGCAGAGTTCATCCCCTTGCCAGAGGTAGCCAGGATACCGGCTGTGAGAGCAGCCTTTTCTGAGAGGTGGGTCACACACCATGGACCGCCCACTTCTATTGTGAGTGATCGAGACCCCAGATTCTGCAGCGATGAGTGGCAGTCCTACTGCAAGGACTATTTGCACTCACGCCTGGACATGACTTCTGGTCGTCATCCTCAAGCCAACGGATTGGCTGAAGTGATGAACCAGGTCCTGTTCCAGTTGCTACGCCCTATGATCTCTCCAGATCAGCAGGACTGGGATCTTCACTTGGCGAGGGCACAGCTCATGTATAACATGTCTGTCCACTCCTCGACTGGGTTCAGTCCCTACCGGCTACATTGGGGACGTGAACCACGACAGCCTCTCGATGATATCATCGACAAGGCTAAGCCTGACCTTACCCCAGGCACTGCAGAGTTCACCAGACGCTATCGTCTGGATGTGGAAAGAGCCAGGGCGAACTTGTTCAAGGCCCAAAAGGCCATGATTGAACAAGCCAACCGCCACAGGCGGCCTTCCCCCATCCGCACTGGTGACTATGTCTGGGTGGCCAGTTCTGAGTTGTCGAGGAAGGAGGATATTTCTCCCAAGCTATTGCCACGCTACCTGGGTCCGTGGCAGGTTCTAGATACAGTGGGCGCTGATCCCTTTGGCCCATCGTATGTCATTGACGTGCCCCTGCATCTGCGAACCTATCCGGTCTTTCATGCATCTAAGCTGCTGCCTTTTACGCCAGCTGATGCATTCCCTGACCGGCCCCCTCAATGGAGCCCACCAATCCCTGGTAAGGGATATGATGTGGTGCCCATTGAGGATGAGTGGGGCACTGGCCCTGACCGGCAGTATCTTGTCAGGTTCGCTTTCCAGCCTCCTTCTGAGAACCGATGGTTCTACAGGAGAGACCTGATCAAGACAGCAAAGTCTGTTGTACTGCGTTATGAGGCGGCTCAGAAGGGTAACCTTCGCCGTTCGCCTCGTCTACACCCCTAGCTCGGAGGTCCTCACTCCCGGGGAGGGTAAGCCTGCAATGACTTGCTGATTTCTGCTGCCGAGATTGACTGCGAGGCTGTATACTAACCGGTAGGGTTAGTTTTGTAATTTTGTTTGGCTGAGGGCTAACCGAGGGATCCGCCTGTGCGGAAATTCGTGAGGGACAG